TGGGAAACCCATAAAAACAGCAAACGGCCACATAATGCAAAACAATATAAAATTAAAACGGGACAGTAAAGAAAATCCGATCAGAATGACAAAATAAACTAAGCATCCCAATATCTGCAGACGGGTCCGTTTTGGCCTTCCAGGCCTCATCAATGCAGCTAGGGTACAGACCCAAACGGAACGTTCGACCAGCTTAAGCAGAGCCCAGTCAAACGACCACTAATGATTACAGAGCCAAACCAAGGCAATATATAGGCCCATACACAGCCCAGGTATGAATGCAAATAGTGGAACACACGCTATGCGGCTCGGTTCCAGTAGATACAGAGAACATTTGTCATTCTTAACCCGTCCTACGAAATTCCTACAGACAGCACTAGTTCGTGAATTTGTGAAACATTAGTATTTGAATCACTGCAGTTGAAACTAATAGAGTCTTAGCAACAGAAAACTTTTCTTAAAAAAAACAAACAATTAACACGCTCATTTTGTAAAGAGGTTTATTAATTATTGTATTTCAATAATGCAATGTGGTTAGATGTTCCATGGGTAGAATGGGTATAATACATTTTTGAAAGTATATTGTACAGCTAAAACATTATGAAGTTATATTGAAATTTAAAAAAAATATTTATTTTAATTAAATGTATTGCTAACATACTATAAGATAACACAATTCATGTACTGTATAAAGAATTTCCTTTTGAAACGTTTCTTAATTGAGAATAATCACAAAACGAAACCAATGTCTTAGTTGAAAATGAAGGGGGTTCATTATTATAGAATTTGTCAATTAGAGCTACCACGTTGCAGACAGTTTAATTATTAATCTGTGTTGCCTGATATCCAATTATATTCAAACGTGTAGATACTGTATAATGCAGATAATAAATTCGTAGTCCTTATTTTAGCCAGTCTTATTGTGTTTGGAATTCCGCAATGCAGTTTACTTTGCCAAGTGTCCAGTGGAATGTATTGTAATTAATCAAATTCAATCTCTAAATTATACTCTTTGTTTCGCCACAAAATTACACCGCTACACTGTGATAAATAGCTGTCATACAACCAAATCACAATCGCAAGTTAGCGCAAATAATACATGCGAATGCAGGAAAGGGGTAAAACACGCAGATTCGCACATAATCCTCGGATTACTGCAGAATATTTAAACGATCGCCAATAAACACGTCAGGCTATTATTGCAGGTGTTAAGTTGATGACCATTTCGATTCTTTGTAAATTTTTTATGTGCTTCCTGACAAATACTGAAAGCGAAGATAGGCCAGTGTTCAAAGACTTGCTGTAATTGATGCTTCTCACCTGTCTATGTTAAATGCAATTTACTAATTTCAAATTGTTTATAAAAGTCTACGATTCCAAATATTCTTGAAGGCTGACCATGGATGAGAATGTTGGCAGGATTTCTGCTGCGTAGTGTCCCCATGATCAGAACTTAAGGAGTGGCGAACCCCGGAAAAATAATCACTCAAATAGTTTTTTAAAAATCACTTAATGCGCCCAGCTAGCCCAACCTAAAGACACTGCTGACTGAAATAAAGTGTTTCCAATTACAGTAATTTACCTCCCAAGTTTTAAATTGCTCATTCAACAGTATTAAATAAATTACTGTACTAACTTTCAATGAAATAATGATCAAAACAAGTCAGTTTGACTGAGTTACCAACACATTGCCACCACAATCATTAAATTGATTAACAAAACCAAATGAATACAGCAACTGTACTATGTAAATTAGTTTACACAAATATTTCATTTTCCTTTGAATTTTTTAAGTGACACCTACTAATATACTTATTAGTATTACTTTTTAATTGTATTAAAGATGTATTGTCCCATGCTAAATACCAAAAAAAATCATAAAAATATTTTTTGAATTTAACTAGCCCATTTTTAAGTAACATAAAAGTTATCAACTTCAACACAGAAATTAGGGTATTAAAAAAATGTCTATCCATCAGTTTACAGTGAAAAATGATTTCAATTTCAATTTATTGTTATTTGCAACGCTCACATTACATTACATAGAAATTACTGTGGCTCTTTTTCACATACAACCAAGTCACATACAACCAAGATAGAAACATTTCCAGTCACTGGAAATGTTTTATCATTTTTATTATAATTTTTTGATTTAAAAATCAGGGTACACATTTTTTAAATTCAATAAGTTTTTATGCACAAGTTAATAAATTTGTTTATTTCAAAATTATTTTTTTATGATTTTTTGACATTAGCAAGGGACAATATATCTTTAAAATACACAAGTAAACAATTAAATTAAATTTTTAACTTTTTTAAGAAATATCATCAGAGAGTACTGCAAGTGATAATGTTAGCAGAAGCGATTGGTGCAACGGTTGTGACTCAACCTTGAGGTCGGGGGTTTGAAACCCTTGCTGTGCAAGTCGCTTGTGTCCTTGGCAAGACACTTTATCTACGTTTGTCTCTCTCTACCCAGGTGTATAAATGGGTACCGGCATATGCTGGGAAGTTAAAACAGACTGGTGTACCCCCACAGCCTTGCACAGTCTGGTCCAAACGCCACGGAAAGAGAGACGGGCACTCCGGCCTGTGAGCCCAGAGCTTCAGATTTTCGACCTTTACCTTTAAAGTTCAACTACTGGCAGTGTACAGCAGGTTTGAATTGAATTTTTAAAATGTATACAGCCACGGGTCTGATATCATGGTCCTTCCTTGCTGCCTCTACTTATTGGCTAAGCTATAAGACTGAGCACACTCAAGCAGTTAAAATACTTCAAATTAGTACAGAGAAAACAAATGTTTTAACATAATATATATTTTAACTTCTACTGTTTATTTTGATTCAATGATTACATGTATTAACCACAACAGACAATACTATCTATTCAGCAATTCCTCATACCATTATACCTCCATGCTCATACCTATTCTCCAGCTTTTCACATATGGATGCATTTCCATTCCTTTTTTTATGTGTTGTCTTGGTGTGAGAGCTTTTGGCGCAGCGGTTGTGGTTCCGGCTGTCAACCTTAAGGTCAGATGTTGAAACCTTTCGCTTTGCATTTCAAATGTCTGTGCAAAACACTTCACCTACAGTTCGTCTCTACAGCCATGAGTAAGTGGGTAGACAGGTAGTTTAAATGTCAGTGAACCGATTACAGCTGCAACAATGTGGAATCCTTCCTTCTCAGGAAGCTTAGTATTGTTTCATAGGTATTTCATACAATGACCACTATATGTGAAGCACTACATAGTACAGTACTTATATTAATAATGTTGAATGCAATTTTCTAACCAGTGCATTGCATCACCAAACACTAAGACACTCCATTAACAGCTCCTGGTGTTGCTAAAAAATCAGTGTTAATATCTAATAGACAAGGCCTTGACTGGGAAGCCGCTAATATTGAGTCTAGCATTCCAGACACTTCATGTAGATTTTCTTGAAATTCTAGTTCTTGTTTTAATGTGTTTTTCAAAGACTTGAGTGCATTAGTAACAGCAGGAGAATCAGCAACAACAGGGGAGTAAATGTCTGAAAGAAAAAAAGAAAGTGAAACTTAGCCATGATATGAACAAAAACAAAATTACAATATACCAATACAATTGAAATACACTTGAGTTTAATTACAATACACCAACACAATTGAAATACACTTGAGTTTAATTACAATATACCAACACAATTGAAATACACTTGAGTTTTGACAGGTGGAGTGAGCCGGTTTAGTCGCCAACCATCCGACCTCGAACAGGTAGTAGTGGTTCACATGGTTACCAATAGCAGGTAGAACCTGACCTGATAGATCAGGTTATAACAAATTTGGGATTGGTGTATTTTGCATACATTTAATAGTGCTCTTGAGTGAGCCAAAACCACAACTAATAAATATATTTCTTAAGATATACTGCCATGTAAAATGTTAAACAAACCTGAATTGCATTCTTTGTATATTTCAATATATTATTGGATTTATACTGACATTTTGAATGAGAAAAAAGGCATTCTACAGTCTTTGTATAGACCATAAAATTTCTGCCAGCAAATTAAAACATTTTCCTAGTAAAATAAAATATTTGTAGAAGAGGAGGGTTTCTTTGTTAATCTGTGACACTGAAAGCTGATAACTTATGTGATTCATTTCAAATAAATTTTATTTAAAATATTTCTTTTTGATGTTGCAGTTGTTAGTACTGAATACTGTATGAAATACACTACACACCCAGTAAGAGGTTTGATATATCAACTAAAGTTGAGGTAAAACTTGTGTTGGAGATATTCTTCCGGATAAATGTAACCATTATACGCAACCACTGCTCATCCCGTCCTGAGAGGGCGCTATTTATGACATCCCGTCTTATAAGTTCTTGCATAATGGTAATGGTGACATTTGGTGTAACTGTTCGAACCTTGACCTATGAAAGAGAAGTATTTATCAAAATTGATAATCTATACTTGAATAAACAAATTCACAGACAAAATCTGTTCAGTATTTTACTTATAATTTACCCATACAACTTACAGTGTTTGGTCAACTTACTTGCAATGCGGCATCCAGTGCTTTAGAGTGTTCAAATTTTCTAAGATAGACGTCATATTTTTGCAACTTCTCTTTTCTTCGGTGATCAACTAATAAATCATTCTACAATACAAGCAAATTGACAATTTTCAAGTTTTCATCTTTCTCTCAACACCTTACACTTTAACTCATTTTACATTACATTTGGTTACATTAAGTTTGTCAAGACATAGAGGGTGCCACCATACAGAAAACATCCGTCCCATTAATTGTAATGAAACACAAACAAATGTATGGCATTTATCTTGATATCGCTGCTTCCGGGTTCTTCCCTGAACTGCCCGGTTGAGAGTTGTGTTGTGCTACGTTTGGACAGGTTTGGCGTGAAGATGTATTTTGGTGCCTAGAGCAAACCATGTCAAACATGAACTCACATCTATGGCAGTATTTAAAAAAAAACACTCAATTTTGTTTATAATATCCATCACTTACCTGTTTTGGTTGAAACATGTGACCTTTGACATAGTATTGATATGATGACCCAGGGCCAGTTCTTTTTGATTTTGCTTTTTCTTTTCTCTTTTCTACTTGTTTTCTATGTTTTATCGAAAGTAAACCATCTGCCATCCCAACAGCTAGTGTCTGATCATCAGCCTAAAAAACATCAATCAACCAATTAATCAATCAATAAATCAATTAATCAGTCATTAGACTAACAAGAAATCAATCTGTCATCAGCCTAATAAAAAAAATCAATCATCAGTTAAATAAGCATTAATCAATAACCAGCAATCAATCAATCACCAGCAATCAATCAATCATCAGCATAATAAACATCAATCATTAGCAATCAATCAATCATCAGCATCATAAACATCAATCATTAGCAATCAATCAATCATCAGCATAATAAACATCAACCATTAGCAATCAATCAATCATCAGCATAATAAACACCAATCATTAGCAATCAATCAATCATCAGCATAATAAACACCAATCATTAGCAATCAAACAATCATCAGCATAATAAACACCAATCATTAGCAATCAATCAATCATCAGCATCATAAACACCAATCATTAGCAATCAATCAATCATCAGCATAATAAACATCAACCATTAGCAATCAATCAATCATCAGCATAATAAACATCAATCATTAGCAATCAATCAATCATCAGCATAATAAACACCAATCATTAGCAATCAATCAATCATCAGCATCATAAACACCAATCAATCTAACAATCAATCAATCATCAGCATAATAAACATCAACCATTAGCAATCAATCAATCATCAGCATAATAAACATCAATATTAGCAATCAATCAATCATCAGCATAATATACACCAATCATTAGCAATCAATCAATCATCAGCATAATAAACATCAATCAATCTAACAATCATCCATCTGATTGAAATATCAATCAAGCAATCGTAAACCTAATAAACCTCAGTCTATCAATTATCTGCCTAATAAATATCCACCTATCAATCATTAGAAATTAATCAATCTACAGCCTAATAAACATCAATCAATCAATCATCAACAATCAATCAATCATCAGTATAATAAACATCAATCAATCAATCAATTATCATAATAAACAGCAATAAATCAATCATTATTTATATTATTATTAATTATATCTTTATGCATGCAACTTTTGATCCTATTACCTCCAACGCATATTCTTGGCCCATGAAGATTGTTTGCCTGTCTTACAGTATGAATTTTGTTTCCTAAGACCAGGACATATGATCTACTAGGGAAGATTTACTTGCAACATACATACAGCAAGAGATTCAAAGCCCATAGCCTCAACTTTAATTGATAATCTTTTCAAACTACAAATGCTAGTTACTCTAAATTAGAAGTTCTTGTGTAGTGAGGTGTTAATGTATTGTTATCAAAGATTTCTTTGATGACTGATGAAGCATTAATGAAAATCTTACAGAAATGCCGACACTCAGGATCGGGGAGGAAAATGTAACTCCAGCAACCGTCTTGTAAGTTGTAACATCATGAACTTTGACATGCCTAAAGAAAAAAAATAACGCCAAAGGTCAAAAGCAAGAAATTAACATATACAGTATTATTAATATATATTACATTTCAAATATTTAACATCTTGTAATAAACAACAAAAAGATAAGGGCCAAATACAAGCATCGAAAGGTCTACTGATCTCAGATAAGATAGTATAATACATACTCCAAGTATCAAAATGCACGCCATCGTGTCGGAATTCAATATTTCGACATTAATTATGTATGATGACATAATTTAATATTAATTCCTGATGATGACATAATTCCTGATAATTCCTGATGATGACATAATTAATGTCGAAATATTGAATCCCGACACAATGGCGTGTATTTCATTACTTGGAGTATGTACTGTATTATACTACCAAACACAAGCATCTTGTATTAGATTTTAAATAAAGAAAATATTGTCAAGCTTAAATATTGATTAATGTTGAAATCATCATTTTCAAACTTATCCTACGTTTCAAAATCATTGGCACCTGTTCATGACCCTCCACTTCAGGGGCTTAGCCAGAAAAATGAAATAGGCTGTCCAAAATGGAAGCCAGTGGGCGTGGCCCTGAGCCGATGAGCGGGCTACGCCCCTCGAGACCATGCCCCCTCCCAAAGAAAGAAATAGAAAATTACAATCTTTAGAGGGCATTTAAAGGTGTTTAAATGTTGGAATTTTTGTCATCAAAGGAAAATTAGCTATCACAAAGATATTTCAGTTATATACGTTGATTGCACATGGCTATGGTGTTTCTAGGCTATGTAGATATAGCATCTTCATCTCTCGACTTAGTCTACTGTAAATTCTACTGTAGGTCTTCCGAATTGAGAGATGTATGAAAACAACGTACATTGAATCAATAAATGTTTTTATCAAACGTATATATGATTTAGCCTTAGCTTAGTGTAACATTTGATAGATTTGAAGAATATAAAGAATTTGCTAAATGTAGACGAGGCCCAATTAGGCTAAGCCGAGTTGATTAGGGCAAGCCGTCCAAGCGTTCACGGTAAAAGTGGCCATCTTAAATAATTGTTGGCCGTCAAAAAGGCGGCCGGACAGCTTGCTGGCTAAGCCTATGCTCCACTTACGGGTGGGCATTTTAAATATATATTTCAATGCTTTTCACCAGTGAAGAAACTGAATAAATAAACAAACAAATAAAATACAAATATTTATTATTGAATCTAAAAATTGTGTGGACATATAGCAAAACAAGCCATTATATTAAAATGTAACCCAACAAAGAGTGCAGCTGTTGCTTGTGGCTTCAAATCCTGAACAAAACATGATTTTAATTTTATAACAAATAAAAACAACTCAATTTCCTAAACCTCCATTGAAACTTGGGATTACAGAGTTTATTACATTTTGTATTTGACAAATTACTCACTGTTGAATAAGAATTAAATAATATGAAAAAGGTAACAAAATGTGTTAGTATTTATTAATACTATTATATGTAGCATCTGTCTTTTTTATTAATTCATACTAATTAATTCTAACTTATCTGGTAATCATATATTACTAACCTATCGAGTGATCCTGTAAGAAGTCTATCATACTTTGCAGAGAAACACATACATGTTATGGTCTTGTGATGATCACTAATAGTTGCTAGGAGACGACCACCAGCAAGGGCATCCCATACCTTGACATAGTTTCCGCCTGGCAGACATGGCAAACAGAAGTTAGTAATTAAATTTCAACGATTGAAATGAAATGGAGATGAAGAAATAATGGAAATGTGCATGAAGCAAAAAGACATAAAAAGTTTAATGTTTCAATTTTGAGAAATCGGGCTAGGACAGAAAAGGACATCATGAGCAGGAACAAAGAATTAAGAAGGATTATGGGATAGTGAAGCAGAAAAATTCTATCAATAAAGTGACGTAACTAGTTAAGGGAACGGATGTCACACCAAATAAATGGGGTCATGCAGCTAGATAATTAAATGACAAACCACAGGTAATTAAAACAAACACAACAATATGTAAATATCTTTTCTGTAAAGAAAAAAACAATATAAATAGAATCATAAGAAGGCTCACCTGCTGAGAGGAAGATGCCACCACCGGGGAACATAAGGACACTTTCTACTGGCTGACCATGATCAACGGACAAGATACTGGACTTGCTTCGAAGGTCAAAAAGCTTCACAGTATGATCATAAGAACCTGCAAAGATTTAAATCATTTTCTTAGGTGATATTTAATGTCTTGTTCAAATAAATTTCTTTAAAATAAATTTGAGAAGTTGGCAAGAAAGTACACAACTGTAGTAACATGGATGAATTAAATGACAAATATTATCAATGTAAACAATAAAGAAGCCTCGATGTCTACATCAACAAAAAAGCCTAAATTCTAATGGTAGGTAGGTACATGGACAAGTGAGCGTAATTATCAAATTTATATACAAAATACTAACCCGAAACTATTACATCTTTGCTGGCTGGATTGATGCAACCACAGCGGACATAATCTGAATGGTCATCAAACTTGACCACCTCAGTTTCACTTGGAATGTCCCAGCAACGCACCGTCTGATCATCTGAACAAGACATGATGTGGGTGTTGTCCGCTAAAAACTTGGTTACCTGTATCGGTCTGATGGATAACAAAGTAAAAACAATATGGTAGGTTCAATATTCACATCACAACTATTGGAGGTTTAATCAAAAGTACCCCACCTTCCTCTTTTTTAATCCTGTAACACTTACTTCTCATGCCCTTTGAAAGTACGGAGGATTGCACGACAACTGACATCAAAGATTCTCACCAATGCTTCAGCGCCCCCGGCTACCAATAGCTTGCCATCATCACGCAGTATTCCACTGTAAACTACATCTTTAAACCGCGAGATTGTCTTGTCAACTTTACTTGTTAAAGGATTGTATATCTGAACCTGCAGAAGGAAAAATGAAACTTGTTGATGAAGCAAGCGAAGAGAAAATAATTGGCAGATTATACTGTAACCAACTTAAATGTGTGATGCAGGTTATAGTGAAGAAATTACTTCTTCAAAGTTGGAGAGACATTGTGAATGTCAAAACTTTGTCCCACTTAGATATAATTGGTCTTAATCTAATATTATACATGGCCAGCATATTGTTGTAGACTTAATGATATTGAAAGAGCTTGAATTTCTCCTGTTTCTATTTTTTATTTTTTTTTAATTATTTCATAATTGTTTATTTGTATGATTTTATTTTGTTTACAAAAAGCATTGAAAAAAATAATTTTTGAAACTTACCCTGGTTGAAGATGAAGTAACAAACTGATATGGTACCAATGGAGAGAAATTGATGTGTGTGATTCCTGCATAATCCTTCACTGTCACCGGAAACTTGTTTACAATTTAAAATAAAAAACAATTAAATATTGTTTCCAATTTAAAATATCATGATTACATTAATAGGTATTGATAAATTTGAATTGAATGAGTAAATGTAGAAAAATGATGTAATTTTACATCCCTGAAGGCAGATGAGTTTGAAATGTAAACGTACATGCAAGCAATTATAAAAACAAAATTTTAAGACTAAAAATTTCAGAGGAAAACTAATTCCCAAATTTTATTCTACAGTACTGGGCGTTCAGCACAAGGCTTAATAAAAACCTGTGACTCCCATCCAGACAGTTGAGGGCTCACCCTTGCACCTGACTGGAGCACAGTCTGTTAAATTTATTATTGTTGTCAGGAAATGTTTACCTTTACCATCTAGAAAACCATTTTTTTTAACATCAAAATTGAAAGTGTGTTACCTGTTTACAATTGCACAGCAGAAACTCCAGAGGGTGCACGCCATTGTGTTTTTGTCTTTACTTTTACATTAAAATAATATTCATCGACTATTTTTTTCTACTTCTTCTTCTTCGATTTCTTTACTCAGCATACTCCTTCAGTTAGGTTATTTCGCTGTGGCAGAGGCTGTATGAACCAGTACACTGGGGTAACCCCCTATTCTTCTCAAAGTATATACTGGGTTCTTTAAAGTGCATACGAGTACTTATCCGAGAAGATTTGTTCACCACCAGAACCATAGGCGAGCGTGCCTTTTGAACCAGCGCCAATATTATGGCTGTAGGTTACAGTGCCTCATGCTAACCCCTCGGCCATCTGTCTTGTCAAATTTTTAGTTTTTTTAGTCAAATATTTTTCATTATTTAATTTTTTCGCGGGCAACAAAATTGCTCTGCAGGCCAAACTTGGGCTGCAGGCTGCCTAGTTAGCATTAAAAACTAGGCCAGAGGCCTATGCCCCCACCAGACCTAGTAGCCTAGGCCTCGTGAAAAAGTGGCAGTGCCAGTCACTCTTGTCAGTTGGAGGCCATATCCCTGCCTTGCCCCTGCTGGTCCTGGAAGGAGTGGACGAATGAGAAACCTTAAATCCTACAATTCATTTTAGTACGCAACAGTACTGTATCTATCCTGGCAGTGCCGATAGAAAACAGCAGCTTTTTTTCGCACTGCGGCAGTGCCGATAGCCACTACCCCTAATCTAGGGCTAGATCTACCGAATTACAGTCAAACCGTACCCATGCCAACCCGTACCCACAAACCGTACCCAAAATTTTGGTCAACCCGTACCCACAATTTTAGTCAACCCGTACCCATCTTTGATCAAACCGTACCCATCGTTGGTCAAACCGTACCCAAGTTTGATGAACAATATTATTTACTAGAACATTACGCAAATTATATTGTCTATTTAGATATTAATCATATCATGTATTATGAACGCCTAACTTACCGATTAGAAGATGTATTCTAATATCTTTGATAGGATGCATTCAATCAAGAAATTTATGATCGCCGAAGAAGCCGAACACGCAAGTTGGGGGCGCTACATATTATGGCTCCATTCGTGGTGTCGTTATTTCACGTATAATTAAGAAGTTATAATTTTAGATTATTATTGTTAGGCCTACGTATAGTTAAGAAGTTATAATTTTAGATTATTATTGTTAGGCCTACTTATAGTTAAGAAGTTATAATTTTAGATTATTATTGTTAGGCCTACGTATAATTAAGATGTTATAATTTTAGATTATTATTGTTAGGCCTACGTATAGTTAAGAAGTTACAATTTTAGATTATTATTGTTAGGCCTACATATAGTTAAGAAGTTATAATTTTAGATTATTATTGTTAGGCCTACGTATAGTTAAGAAGTTATAATTTTAGATTATTATTGTTAGGCCTACATATAGTTAAGAAGTTATTATTTTAGATTAAAAGGCCTACGTATAGTTAAGAAGTTATAATTTTAGATTATTATTGTTAGGCCTATGTATAGTTAAGAAGTTATAATTTTAAATTATTATTGTTAGGTCTATGTATATGTATGGAAAATGATGTAATGTATCAATTATAAATATATATCGAAATATCCGTTTTGTTAATAAATTTGCGTTCTGCAGGACAACTTTCAATGATTGTACACCGTTTTTTTTTCATTTTATATATATATATATATTTTATATATATATATATATGTATATATGTATGTATATATATGTAT